GAATTCACTTCATTTATTTATATAAATTATGCACACACACACACATACATATATATACATATACATATACATATATTTATATAAATAAAATATTTATTACAAAATGTAATATATTAATACATTTAATGATTTATGATGATATATATATCAGTTAGTTCTTACATTATTTTAAAAATACACACACACATATTGTCAGGCTCTGGGCCAGGTTTTGTGTGTGTCTTTGCTCCCTATGTGCTCCGTCATCCAGTTTCTCTGTCTCGTGTTTTGAATTCATTGTTCCCAGGTGTTTCCTATGTTGATTGTCTTATTAGTTCCAGGTGTCCCTTGACTTCCCCTCATCAGTTCCTGTGTATTTAAAGTGTGTTCTTGTCCTTTGTCAGTCGTTAAATGTCATTCTGTCATCCTGATGTGTTGAGTCCTGTGATCCCCAGCCTTTGTTAATAAACCCTTTTGAGTTACTTTATCTCCGTGTCTCCTCGTTCCTTCGTTCCTGTGTTCCTCGTGTATGTGCACCGTGACACATATATATATACACATACACACATACACACATATACACATATACACATATACACATATACACATATAAAAACAGATATTAGATATCAGTAAGTTCTTACTCCAAGCATTCTGTATTTCATTACTTGTTACTTCAGCATCACGGCTACAGCAGCCAGTATCGGTGCTGCTGGCATTCCACAGGCCGGCCTGGTAACCATGGTGATAGTGTTAACCTCAGTGGGACTTCCTACAGATGACATCACTCTTATTATTGCTGTGGATTGGGCCCTGTAAGTCTCTCTCTTATTCAATTCCATTGTAAATGTATGATTGACAGGCTTGCCAGGTCTGCATATCAAAAACCAGCCCAATAGCTAAACTAGTCAAATCAAGGCCAAAACTAGCCTAATCGCCTTCCAGGGCAAATTGGAGATCAAAAACTCTGGGGGGTCAAAACCTCCTTCTGGGGGTTCCTACCTCGGTTGAAATCGTGTTTCAGTGGGGAGACCTGCAGCAACAGTATAAAAGCAGCTCAATTACATGGGAAACCACGTATTTGGCAACACTGATGATCGATGCTCATTAAGATTTATGATTGATTTTTATTAAGAACTTGTTGATTATAACGTTTACTTGTGTATTGGTCAGGGATCGGTTCAGGACGATGGT